ACATAAAAAGTCACAATTATCACATTAAAAGTTGAAATTATGACATAAAATTTACATTACAACATAAAAGTAATTTTGAAAATTCATTTTCAAGTCATAATTATGAGATTCAAAATATAACACACTAACATACTAAGTCACAATTATGATGAATATATATATATATATATATATGTCATAACTATGACTTTTTATCTTCAAATTTTACTTTTGTCAAAATTTTGACTTTTTATCTCACAATTATGACTTATGCCACATTAGAGAAAATGCATTTGTAAATCATAATTATAACATTAAAGTTTAAATTATGACACACTAAGACATTATGAAATAAAAAGTTGAAATTATGAGATTAAAAGTCATAATTAAAGTCATTAAGACATAATTAAGTCAAGATTTTATCATCTAATAATTATGAAGACTTATTTTTTTTTCTAATGCGTAGGAAATAAGCTACTATGCTTTTCAACAGCATCTTTGACAGACAAATTATAGAGCAACATTTTATTCTTAATGAAAACTTCAGACTCCTCCTCAAAAAAATACATGTTTATGTGCAGTTAACCTGTCAAATAGATTTTTTTTCAAACCTTCTGACATTGAGTCTAAAAACCTGTCAGAGTTGAAGACAGATGGTGTTGACATGCTCGTAATGTTTGTTTTTCTCTAACCAGTGTTTCTATATCATTCTTCTCTCTTGCCCTCCTTTAGTCTCCATGCTCGGCTGAGGAGGAGCACCGTCAGATGGAGGAAATTCTGCGTTTGGAGCGCGAGATTGAGCATCTGCAGAAGAAAAGAGAAGATGGTGTGTCTATGCTATGTGAGAGCTCAAGACAGGAACTCCACTTGCGGCGTGATGCCGAGATCCTGCGTCAGAAAAAAGCGGCTTCTCGTGTCGCCACTGAATTCCTTGAACTGCTCGACACCGGAGGCCCAGAAGTCATTCCTGGTGATGCTAAACCACCTGCCTCCAGACCAGCAGCCGCCACTGAGGAAGAGGTGGATGAAGGCTTCCATGCAGATGAAGAGTGCATACCACTTCCCGAGTTCCCTCCTCCAGTGGAAGGTCCAGTGGATCAGGAAATCTTAGCCACTCTGCCACCTCCTCCTCCTGCCTTTGCCGAGGGCACGTTGGCTCCATCTGCACCCAACGTTCCACCGGGGGCTCCTCCCCCGCCTCCTCCTCCCCCTCTCCCTGGCGATGCCAAAAAGGAAGTTGGAAAGCCTGAAGAGGCTAAAACAGTTAAAGAGGTGGATGGGAAAAAGGAGGGAGAGGATGTGGATCGCACCAGCAGGCTGACTGCAGCGGAGTCTCTTCCAGACACAGAGGAACCCATCTACAGTGTGCCTGGGGATGGCGAGTCAGACTATGACCAAGACGATCTAGAGGACGGACAGAGCAACATTGCGGCGACGAACACAGAACACGCACGCAAGTCCACCTGCACCAACGCAAGCCAGGAGTCTTACAACCGCAGCTCAGATTCAGTGAGTTACACAGAGTACACGTGCCAAAGGGTGCAAATTCTTTCTATATAAAGCTATTTATAATACTATAATCTAACCCCAACAGAAAACTTTCTGTATCTTTATCATTTAAAATAAATACTTTGAATGTACTTTAATTATAACGTATTTACAAATTTTACTTTGTCCCTAGATGTCCCTAGAAAGGAGGTTTTGTCAGGTTTAGCTCACTTCTGGGTACATATTTGTCCCCAAAATATGGTTAAGTAGGTATGTACAATCACACACAGACCATTCACTCTATCTGTCTCTTTTTTTAAGTATGCTGACAGCGATGATGATCATGATGGGTACGTAGACACAGATGAGGAGGTATCCAACGGTAAAGTCAACATCTTAAATGGGAACGGACCTCCGTACTTCCACAGTTACCTTTACATGAAGGGTAAGAAATCAAAGATTCAATCTTTTTACACTAAATAAAGTCCCTGCTGTGGCCCTCAACCTTTTTAAATTCAAGGCCCCTATTGTCAAAGTTAATATTTAAAGGGCCAAAATGGATCTGGTACTTCTGCTTTAATGACAAAGCTACTCATTTTAACACTTTTCACAAAATGTATAAAAATAATAAAATAATGGTTAATAATTCAAACAAATGACACAATTCCAGAAGTTTCAATAAAAAATAGAGCATGTCTAGCAATTCCAAGGTCATGGGTTTGATTTGCAAGAAATGCATAATTTGATTATAAACAATAAACTTTGAATGCAAGGTAAGTCGCATTGGAAAATAGCAGCTGTCAAATGCATAAATGTTATTTTTTAAATAGCTTTTCTAGTCTTTCATGGTTGTGGGTTTATATGTGTGTGTGTGTGTGTGTGTGTGTGTATATACTGTATGTATATATATATATATATATATAT